ATTCACCCCAGAAGAACACCTGAAATAAAATCTCCTGATTTCAAAAGCCCTAAATACTATTTCTTGCAATGTGTTTGCAATTAAGAAGCTTGAGACTCTCTTTTGTTTAGCTGAAATTAAAGATGATAATCTAAAGTCTTGAAACCCTGAATCACAAAGATTTGCCGCATTTCTCCTAATAAAAATGTTCTATAAAAATCTTCATTACATTCTCTGCGATGGGGTGAATGAACTCTAAAAAGGAAATCCTGTAATTGGGTCTGAAGTTAGAATCCAGTCATGAAATAACAGTTTCCTTGAGTATCAAGACATTTGCTTATAAGGCCTTCTATTTATTACACACCTTTTGTTTCCACATCATATAGCTTCAACTCTTCTGAAAGAGACTAAACAGAGACTATTTTTAATTTTGTTACCAACAACTGTGAAATAATCCTTACAAATCAGTAATACCAGTCCAGGAATGCTTACAAATAAACAATTTGCAAATGTGGGCTAGATATAATTAGTATGGCTTGATGAATGAGCTCCTTTCTTTGCATTTTTAACAGTCATGGCTATGTTGATCTGGGAACAGAATGCCTTTAGCATCAATGTCCATTTTAGATAGTAATGCACAACTGAAAGCATATTCAGATTCTACCCACTACACCTTTTCTTGTATTTCCCATCACCAATACAGAACTGCATCTGGAAGGATTTTCTTAAAGCAGATTGATCACATGTGAAACTGCTCACAAAGACAGGTTATGAGTCTCTTCAGTTGTGTGTATCTCTGTGGCTACATACTACTTCCAACCCTTATAAACAAAAAAAAGGTTGAAAATCAATAAGAATTACAGGTATACCTCATCTTCTGACAGTGTTACGTCTGGACAATTACAGCATTACATTGGCATGCTAAATGACAACGTGCATATTCACAGTGTTAATGTATTCATACTAAGGAGCTAATTGATTTTCATTTTGTTTCCATCATAGAAAAGCTGATTTAAAAATATGTGGTTTTTTTTCCCCTTTGGCTTGTCCCAAAATGGAAATTAAAATCACAAGCTTTTCTGTTTTGGCAGTTAAAACGTATGTATGCAAATGAGGTACAGATACACGATGCCAGAGCTTTCTAGGTCCTTCTGCCTTTTCATTTAATAAAATAAATACTTGTATGCAAACATCAGATCTCATCCTAGAGCTAATATATACAGCTAATATATAATTACTATGAGATTAGATGTGATCCTAATCTAATAGCAAACATGGTACAAGTGAGGTGGGATTTTCAAATGAACCCTTCAGCAGAGGCCAGTTCAGTATCTCAGTGTCAGTCCAAGCCCTTTTGTCAGACACACCCTAACACACTACTATTTAACTGCCTTCAGACAGACCAAGCATTCTTCCAGCCAAGCAAAGCAGCTTTTATCACTAATGTTTCAACATTTAAGAAGACTGTAAAACTGGGTAGGAATTTCGCTACAGTCTGTTCTAAGGCCCTGTCACCGGCTTCAGGGTGAGCAGTGTGAGAGGGTTATTCACAGCTAGTTTCCCTGAGCTTGGGTAGCGTTACGCATACAGCGCTGCACTAGGAATTTTGGCTAATCCCCCCAAACTGCTGCATTCTGAGTACCCCACGTTACCCACAGGCAGGGCTCTGCACACTCTTACACAAGTGGGCTTCTGAAGAACAAAGCGACAGCAACCAGCGGTCCTTGCGCTGCTGAAGGTGCATCCTGTCCAGACAAAACGTCAGCAGAAAAGTTCTGGTGCAAGCAGAGACAACAGCTACATAACCCTACAGAACGGCTCAGTTGGCTTTGTGTAACTGTCCCTCCTGCTCAGATACTGGCATGCTCCCATTCCTGCTCTCCTAGCCATGTGGAGCACACACTCTTTGGCCACATGTTAGATTTCATACTTTATATTATTTAAATACCACACCGCTGGGTGTTATTAATCAGAATCTAAATATTTTGGAGCTGTTTGTTAAACAAATTTCTTGCATCAAAACCTAGAAAATCCCGATCTGAGACACTCAGCTGCCTTGAAGCTCTCTTCAGAGAGCACTTCAAAGAGTAACCCTTTCAGAGAGGTCACTTCACTACAGACAACCGAGTGAATGCAAGGAAACATTTTTGTTTTAAAAGTTAGCAAGAACAAAATGTTACGTAATAGCTCTAAATTGTTGGACTATTTAGGAAGTCATGTTAAAATAGTCAGGTTCCAGGATGAGGCTTGTCTTATAACTTTTGGCATGCGTAAGCTACAAAGCATGTCTATTATTAATTTCAGAAATAGTTGTGGGTACCTACAGTGAATTAAATTGTCACTTTTGATGTAATTATTAAGCAAGATTGCAGACCCTGCTCAGAAGTTCAAATAGCGGCCGTTTCAAAAGTTCCCTCAGTAGTTCCGAGTCCTAGGGCAACCTACAGTGACTTTGTCACACAGGACCACGGTATGAAAGCTCTTTTTGTTTAAAGCCTCTCTTCTCAACCCCACTTACGGCACAGTGGTGTGAAAGCAAGAGATAGTGGCTGTCGGTACATGAAATGCATCTCATTCACATTTCTCACACAGACATGCAAACAACGTGGAGCGTAACAAAGGCGCACGTGGTACCTGTCACTCGACTTCAAACCTGCAGATTTGTTGCCAGTACGAAACGATCTCAGACTGAACAACCTAGCTGCAGCAAATAAAATCTAGCGGGCAGCCGTGTGGATGAACATCCTTCACGTTATCAATCAGGCTGCAGGAGTCTGTAGCACCACTTCCACCTTTTTACCGAAAGTGATGGCTGATCGAGGAGAGTTAAATCAGCCCCGTCACAGCTCTGTTGCTAAACCAAAGAGAGACACTCGAGCAGACATACTGGTGCTGGACCTGCTGCATTCTGAAAAGTAGAAACACATCAACGTGGGTATGCTTTTAAATACTGCAAAACTGGGGGGAGACGGGGAGATCGTTCAGCTACACATCAGAAAAAAAAAGTATCAGCTACACAGGAAGAAATTGTGATCCCTTCTGAATTTTCAATACAGAGCCACAAATCACATGATTTGTGATGCTGTTTTAAGCATTGCTGTTTGCAGACTTCACAAATGAAACAGAAGACACAAGTAACAATGTAATTCATTGGACCTTTTCTTATTCAGTGATAACTACTTAAAAACCAAAATAACTTACAACATGGTTGTAGCTAATTACAAAAATAACCCTTGCAAAAAGAAATAGTTTTGTCCCTAGATCTACTAAATATTTAATAATGACGAAAAGGCAGTACATGCAATTTAGAAAGTAAATAAGGATGCATATTTTGACTTGGAAAAACATTGTGTCCAAGGTTATATACTTTAAATATGAAAGAAGTATAATGAGAGAAAAAGTGGGCAACCTGTGTAATCATGCAACATTTGAATAGCTGGTACCTCAGTTTCCCTTTCCAAGGAAAAAGAAAGTACAACACCTACTCTCCAGAGGGGCAGCTACATTTGATGATCTGATTAAGTTGTTTCTAGAAATTAAATTCTTAAATTAAATTGTTTCTAGAAAGAAGATGGTATTAAATTGTTTTTATTTTTACCGGTATTCAATTATTTTGAATTTGTTTGAAGATGGTATTAAATTGTTTCTAGAAAGAAGACAGTATTAGCAGACAAATTATTAAATATATTTATCTGAACATGTTTTCCACTGTCAACGGTGCAGATGGCCTGGAAAAGTGATTATTTCTTAGTCATGCAAACTGTTTGAATGCAAAACAAAACTGCCAGCACTTTCAGGGCAGCATCAGTGTTTGAAGGGGATTCCTTTTCTTTTGCTCTTTCTGACTGTTTTATAGTAACTTCTGTTTGATTATGTTAAACCTCTCTTATCTACAATATTTACTTTAAGAATTTAGCAAGATATTGTATCTCTTATCCCTTTTATTCCTCTTCCCCCCCCCCTTTTTTTTCCTCCAGTAGGTATATATATGTCCCTAATAGGTCAAAATCTAATTCTTAGTATTTGGTACACCGTCTGTATTTTAAAGTAGGATATTTCAAGTTTGGTCTGATCCAGATTTTCATGTATGGCAAAATCCTACCAACAGGTATCAAACGTCTTGTTTCATGACTAATGATCAGCTCTGAATCCCATCCTTACTGATATTTGCTCTTCAGAGATGGGGAGGGGGGGGAACAACCGCACAACATGTTTTATAAAGCTCAAATTGGCCTTATCAAACAAAACATCTGCTAGATTTGTGAGTGACTTGTGACAGCAGGAGACATCAGCACTGGCCTCACCAAGAGAAGCCACTGCAGTTAATGGAAGCTATTATGGAAGAATTCTGGCAAGAATATTTTTTTCAAACAGGAAAAAAAAAAGAAGAATATGTTATGTTGTTATGGCAACAGCTATTTGAAAAATACTGTAACAAAAGGCAATCGAATATCAAACTACCAAGCTGGTACTTTGACTATTTGGTTTTCCTCTTAAGCAGCTGATTTTACAGAGATCCCCTTCCTCTTCCTTTCTTGGCCACAAGTGTGCGTGCACAGGTAACAGAGCATCTGCAGATAGTCTGTGTCCACAGAATTTCTGTCCTAGAGCTGCAAAACTTGAGATACAGCAGATTTTTACATCTAACTGGAAGAACACCCAGTGTTATATGGGCTGAATGCCTCACTCACATACCAATAAAAGCACATTTTGTAGTATTTCCAGTCTGCACTTTTGGCACAGAGGTATTCTGGGACTCCCTGGTTACAGGATCCCTCCAGCCTCTCTGCAAGTACCACATCAACTGCTGGAACAGAGCAGTATCACTTCTGTTCCACGTGTGCACCTGCACCTCCCCAGCTGCGGGGAGAGCAGGGGTCCCGCACACTGAGGATTTCAAGCAGAATGCAACACCCTACCTTTCCAAGGCCCGCAGCTGGATCACCTACCTTACAATTTTATTTTTTATTTTTTTAAGTTTCTCTGAATGAACCCAAGTTTCTCCATGTACTCACCTTCACCTTACTCAGGTAGGGTTTCTCTCGAGGCCAGTGAGTATCAAGCTGGGTAGGGACTACGCCACCTGGCTATGTGGTGTTACCTACCAGTTTATGTGTGGGGGTACTCCGAAAGAGCTTGAGGACGCTGCTGCCTCTTCCTCTCAGACCTATATTTTGATTCATCATGTCTCAAAAAAAAAAAAAAAAAAAAAAAAGACAAACACCACGCACTGCTGTCTCAGGCTGAACACACTTAGGCGCTTTGCTAAATTTCCTCTAAATGGCATAATAGAGTTACACAGTGTAAGTATTGCATAGGTATGGCAAACATATTTCTTAATACAGAGGGGAGAACCTACGTTTTGTTACACTGATTTCAATCACTCTGAGGTGCTCAACAGTCTACTTTTAAACTGAGTCCCATTGTAATGAGATAAACTAACATGTTTTACCTAACAGAAATAGGAACCTGGGGGGGATATGATACAGATATTAGCTTCTAGTTGTTTTGCTGTAACAGAGAATTTTGGAGTCGCATCATTTTCTAACTAGGCAACTGTTTGTTAGTGCCAACACTGAAAAATAGTCATGTTAGTGTGCAATAACAGACCTGAGAAATATTGAAGTTAGATAGAAAAAACGCATAACAACTTATTTTCTATCTGTTCTCTGCAACCATTCAAACTCAGAAATAATGTGCTATGTAAGTCCTACTGACACTCGTAGGTATCTATGGGACTGGGTTTGGAAACTGAATGCAAATGGCAGCATTTTCAAACCCACCCCAAAATCCCTGGAGCATTTCAGACATTCCAGTCAAAGTGATTCTTTAATGTGGGACCTACTTACCACATTTGTTTTACATTAGAAAACGCTGTATAGGTTGTTTACATTTGGAAAAGTCAGTGGAGAGAGATTTCTGTAAGTGTTCTGAAAGAAAGATTGCACCGTTACTGTAGCAAGGACAATTATGGACAGACACAGGTAATAGCTGTTTAGAAAATGTTAGGAGCATTATTGTGGATAATAGACATTCTTTTCTTATCATTGCCCTTACCCGAGTTTCATTTCCATCGGTGTTGTCTGCCTAGATTGCTTAAGACAGCTGCAGTCCTCTCATTTACATTAAGGTAACAAAAAGTTGACTGCTGGGTTGTCCCAGACGGAGTTCATCTGTACAAAGGTCTGAAACTGTGAGGGAATACCTAAAATGTCAGACATGTCCAATATGTAGTGCTGCTGCAAATTATCACCTCTTCCAGGTCAGAAAGGCCAAAATAATTTCCAGCTCTATTTTTCTGAAAGCCATTTTCATTTAATCTGTCCTTTACAAATGGTAAATTTAATGAGAACTTCAGGAATAACTCAAACTAAAATTAAGAAAAAACCTTGATATATATGTATTCAATTCAAATGTATTTCAGTAAGCAACAACCTGGCCACTATTGAAACAGTTCTCAAGTACTATTGAAATAATAGGTATGTTCGCAAAGGAAACCTGCTTTCTTTTACAGCAACTGTATGCATTATTTCAGCTTCTTCTGATAATAGCACATTTAATACCAAGGCCAAGATGCAATCAATCTTTTTTGTTGGAAGGAAGTGCCGCATTGTACCCGGAGGCTTGTGCTCACCCGGCAGCTCCAATCTGCCGAGCAGCCCGAGGTTCAGCAGGGCTGTGGCTTGCCGGCCCCTGCCGCTCCTCTCTTACCTCCTTGGGGTGGGGGCAGCATGTGAGGTGAGAGCGGGATGGGGAAGCGAAGAGGTCTGCCTCTGAAGAGACACTGAATTAGGCTGGAGTGAATAGCCGACGTCCTCTGTAATTATACACACATTGAACTCTTTACAGTTGACTTAAGTTACGTCGAACTGCATTGGTGTGGCCCTCTGTATTGATTAAAAGCAGCATCTATTTACCTTAACAATAAATGTGGAGATTAGTAAAAGTTCACTTGATCACAATAAGACGACTGATAATTAAAGGGCAATGCAACCCAGATGGAATGTAAGTGCCTGAAGCAGCATGATAGGAAACATAGGCTGCTTTTTCACAAGAGAGTATAAATGCATAGGGTAGGGCTTGCAGAAAGCACTTTGAATAGACAGCATCTGTAGGGATACTTGAAGGAGGGGAAGGCCAGAGCCTGTCCCAAGAAGGCTGGCACAGTGCTTCTCCTGGGCAAAGTGACAAACACAGCGCTCTGGAGAAGGAAAAAGACCTAAAATCACAATGGTTAAGGGACGCACACTGCAAAACCTTTGAAAGCAGCCTCCACATCTTTTATTCTTCTTTCACATCTTCTCTGTAAGAAAGAACAAGTGTAAGGCAAGCAGGACACACCGTGAGCTGCATGTGTTAAGCTCTTGATGGTGCAGGCTCTAGCAGAATGGGAAGGACTGGGTTCTGTGTGACAGGCTCAACAGAAACACTCCCTCTCGCATCACGGCATCTCCTATAGGGAAGCGGGAGGAGGGCTTGTATTCCGATTGCATCCATCCTTCAGTTTACACGGCAGATGCTGCATTTTCCTAATCCCTTTTTATCAAGAAAAGAAGCAGCTGATGACTAGATTAGTAAGTGAATAGTCTCGGTACCATATGAACAACTAGGAAAATCAGACTCTGAAGTGGTTGTACACACGCTTTGCGACAAAAAGGTCATATCCCTTGACAGGATTTGACACCCTTCCCTTGTTTCTTTTCTTTGTCCCGGTATCGATGCACCCTGTGCTTACCTCCTTGCAGAAAATGACATGATAAAATGGTGACTTTTAACAAGTGCTGTAGCAATTTCTGGAGGCCAGAACGTAGCAAACAGACAACCAGATTGCTGCTGAAACACTGACGATACCTGAGATCTTAAATTAGTAATGCTCTCTCAGAGCAGATTTCCAGCTGAAGGAAGAGTAGAAGTGCATTTCTTTTCCTAACAAACAGTGCCACCAGTCCCATCTGAGTGCTGCTTTAAAGAGCAGCCTGCTTAGCTGGCACTGCGTGTCCCCCTCAGGAGTTCAGATTCAGAGCACTTCAGAGCACCAAGCTGCTGGCTCACTCAGCTTGTAGAAAGGACAGCAATTTTACAGTGCTAAGGAGCAGGGCGAGTAAGGTTAGCGAGAAGGTAAGGGAAAAGGGAGAAACAGAGGCCCTCCACTGAATTTGTGGCAAAACACAGTCCCACTGCCTCTGACCCAAGCCAGCCTTCCCAGCCCCTTACTCTGGAAGGCATTTCCCAGGTGCTAGCCGTTCCCTGCCCCTCTGACCAAGCAAGCAGGCCAAGGCCTACCGGTGACTGCTCTGACCTTGCAAGTGCCTAACATGCCACCACCTCGGGTTGGAGCTGCTAGGCACAGGAGGCCATACCCTACTCCTTCCCTTCTTACCCAGCACCTCAAGGGCTGGTGGCTCCACACCTCCCTGCTCAATACAAGGCTAGGAAGCCACCCCACTGCTTCGTTACACAAATGGGTAACTGCTGCTTTCCTCCTTGCCTCAAACGTGCCCAGCAGGCCAGGGGCTCGTTACGGCAGCAGCCAGGATCCCTTTGTTTCCTTCCCCCCTTCAGGTAGGGGGTGAATTAATCCCTCTGGAAAGCAGCAGCACCCCCGTGCCCACAGCCCCTGCCACCAGGGACCGGCATGGTCTCAGGACGGAGGAGCTGAGCCTGTCTCTTCACATGCAAGTTTTCAAAATAAATCGCTTTTGTTGTTCACAGCTGTGATGAATGGACACGCAGGGCCAGGTTGGCCGCCGGAACAGTACAATGGATGCGAGCAGTTTTTTTTTCTTTGCCATATAAATCATTCACATTGTTTAAGGTACATTGATCAATCTAATGGCTTGTAATAGGCTCCTAATTGGCACTAGGAAAGTACTGCAAGCTTGCATTTGGACGTGAAATGGTTCATGATCCGGGCTGAAATTCACCTTAGGCTGGAGCGCCAGCAATTACCGACGCGTCGGGAGCACGGGAGCGGCTCCGCGTGTCCTGGTCCCGAGCCTGGGGCAGGGGAAGGGACGGGGGGACCCACTGCCATCGGGGGACCCGCAGCCACCGGGGGAGCCGCCGGCCGCGTTTGGCGGCCACGGCGGGCCGGGGCTAACTTTGTAACGCCGCTCACCTCGCCCGCTTCGTTCGTGCCCGCACCCCTGCCGAGAGGCGGCCAGCTCGCCCCAAACGCCGGGGGCGAACGGAGCCGGGCCGGGCCCCGCCGGGCTGGGCTCCGGGCCCCGCAACAGGCTGCCGGGGAGCCCGGCCGAGCCGAGCCGAGCCGAGCCGAGCCGAGCCGTGCCGCAGCCGGGGCTCGCCGCGCCGCCGAGCAGGGGAAGAAGCGGGAGGGAAAGCGGCCCCCGTACGGCGCTCCTCGGGCTTCCCCGGCGAGGCAGCGCACGGCTCCGTGCCGCCGCTGAATAATCTCGCAGTAATTGCGGTAATTAAAATCATCGCGCAGCCGGCAGTCACCTTCCTTCCCCTGCCACCGGCCTCGCCTCTAGCCGGTAACGCGGCGGCGGCGCTGAGCGGAGCGGGAGGGCTCCGAGGTGCGGTCCCGAGGGAGGCAGCGCCGGGCAGCGCCGCTCCGGCAGCCCCCGGGCACTGCGGGGCGGCCCCGGGGACCCCCGGGACCCCCGGCACCGGGGCCGGGCCGAGCCCCGTCTCCTGCCCCCGCCGGCTCCGGCTGCAGGGCAGGAGCAGGAGCCAGAGCTTTACGCGGCCGGGATCGGCGGCAGGCTCGGGCAGAAATTGTTGGAGAGTGCCATAATTTCCATTTAATTTCCATGATCTATTTGATCCCGGGGCTCATTCCCTTTTTATTAACCATAAAAAGATTCCCTTCTAATCAAAAGCCGCGCTTCATCTTTCCCCGCAAATGAAAAAAAGTCTACAGCAGAAAGAATTCAGTGGGCTCAACAGGCACCGAGGGCTGTATTTCAGCACCATCTCTATCTATTCGTCCCCCTTTTAATACCTCCTCTTTGGCAGAATAGTGGGGAAGCCTTTTCTTAACTGAAGTTATTAATTTATCACCAGGTCCCCCTCTGCGTTGCTCTGATAATCAATGGTGGTTTCTAGATCACGTAAATGAAAAGTATAATTGAGGGAGAGAGAGGGAGGGAGGGAGGGAGAGGTTCGCATGGCAGTCCTGGTGGCAGGAAAAAAAAAAAAAAAAAAAGGAGGAAAAAAAAGCAGGACGCAATTATTTGCCCAAGCGATGAGCATTTTGTCTGTTTCCTGCACACGTCCCTTCTGCTTGGCAGAAAATCATGCTGCTGCTCTTGAACTTGGAAGGCTTCGCCCCTTCCCCACCCGTAACATCCCCGTGTAAAACTCCGTGCCCCTCCTAGGACTCGCGGGAAATTGTGCGGCACCCTCGCGTTGAACTGCTGGTAAATCGATTTATTTGGGGAATATTTGGCAGCCCTTTCCCGGAGCTCGGTTTGAGGAGAAGAGCCGTTTCATCTGACGCTCCCGCACAAGAAGCCGGGAGCCTCCCAATCAGCTCTAATGAACGAATTGTTTCCCGGCTTTACCTCCAAAAGGCACCAACTTTAGCACTTGCACAGATCAAAAGACACGCGTGAAGGGAAGATGGGAAACAATATTGTTCAAAGGAAGCGAACTGTTGCGTTTAATTAGGCTATTCTTCTTTACTAGGATTCACATTGAGTTTTTTTTTTTTTTTTTTAAGATTTCTGTTGATTTAAACATAATGTATTTATGATGTAAATATATGCCGAGATGAAAACGTCACGGATCAATTGTGAAGGACCCGGATACATAATTTTAAAAAATCAGTTTCAGTTTATGTGAGGTTCTCACCCCACTTTCGCTTCTTAGTCAGATTTGTTTATGCAGAATCGACATTTAATAGTGCTAATTGCACTCCAGTTAAATTGCCCTGATTGCAGAAAGGGAAGCAATTTTCGTGCTCTCTGTCTGGGTTTGGAAGAAATTGTTTTATATTCACCTCTTTATAAAGAAGTGGAGATAAGGCACCGAGCCTTTGCACAAATTGCACTTATGGGCTGACTGGCAGCATTCAGGCGCTATAATAGAGCATTATTTGGCCGTTTTGAATAATGTAAAGCGTTTGCTGAAAGCTATTCTCCTGAAAATTGCTTTAACTTTTAAAAGGGTGATGATTCACTCCGAACCAGGCCTTTGTTACGTTGTCATTATCCCCCCAAATGTTTTAACAGGCGGCTCGACACTTGAGCATAACACATCGATCTTTGTTTAAAAACTCGGGGTCTGGAGCGCGCAAAGCCCCGCCAGGAGCCACTTGACCCCCCCAAGGCTTCAGCGGGGCTCCCCGCCCGGCCGCCGCCTCTCCTTCCCTTCCCTTCCCCTTTCCCTCGCCGGGGGCCGCGGCTCCGAGCCCCGCCGCGCAGGGACGGACGCCCCCGGCCCCGGGGGCCCGCCCGCCGGACCGGGACCGGGGACCGGGGCCGGGGCCGGGCACCTGTTGGGGCAGCGCCGCCCGGCCCCCGGCCCGGGGGCTGCGCATCCCCCGCCGCCCCCGCGCAGCGCTGCCTCTGCCGGAGCGGGGCAGCGGGGGACGAGCGAAGGTGAGGGCGCGGAGCGGCGGCGGGCGCTGCCCCGGGCGGGGGCCGCGGGCCGGGGGGGCACCGCCCGCCGCCCCCCGCCGCGCCCCGGCTCGTGCCGCCGCCCGGCGCCGGCCGCTAATTGCGGAGCGCTCCCCGCAGCCCGGCGCGGGAGTCCTCTGCCCGCGCGCGCTCGGCTGGCACGCGCCCCGCGCCCCGGCGCCGAGCACCTCCGCGCGCCTGATTGGCTGCGGGGCCGCTCCGGCCCGCTCCGCCCGCGCCCTCATTGGGCGAGCGCGGCAGGCAGCGGTACTTCAAAGCGGGCGCGCCCCGCACTTAGGCAGAGTTTGGCCCCGCCGCGCCGGAGTGTCCGTGGCGCCGCCGGGGCAGCGCGGCCGCACCGCCACCGCCGTCCCCGTCCCGTCCCCCCGCGTCCCGGCCAGCCCCAGCCCCGGGAGCCCAGGGCCGTGCTATGGCTACGTCTATACTCGGGGTAAGTCGGCGGCGCGGCACCGCTGCCCTGCGCGGGGGGGAGAATGAAATGGATGGGGGAGAAAACCAAGGAGCGGCGGCTGTCGGCGCGCCGGTCGCGCGGGGCTGCGGGCGGGGGCGGTGCCGGTGCCGGGGGCTCGGCTCGCGGCTCGCTCCCCCGGCCGGGGCGAAGCGGGGAGCGTCCCTCTCCCTCCTGCTCCCGTTCTTTTGTTTTTCCCCGACCAAGCCGCGGAGCGCTCCGCCCGCCCGCTGCTCGTGCCCGGCTCGGCTCCCGGCGCCGCTCCGCCAGCCCCCGGCCGCCCCGCTGCGCTCCTCGGCGCCGCCGGCCCCCGGCCCCGGCCGCGCTCCCCGCGGGCGGCCGCCCCCCGACGTGAGGCGGCCCCGGGGCGGCGGGCAGGGCCGGAGCCTCGCTCCCGGCGCGGAGCTCGTCGGGTCTCCCCGCGGCCGCCCGGCCAGGCTGACGGAGCGCTCCGGCTTTGTGTCTGTCCTAGGAAGAGCCGAGGTTTGGGACCACCCCGCTGGCCATGCTGGCCGCCACCTGCAACAAGATCGGCAACACCAGCCCGCTGACCACGCTGCCCGAGTCCAGCGCCTTCGCCAAGGGGGGCTTCCACCCCTGGAAACGCTCCACGTCCAGCTGCAACCTGGGCTCCAGCCTCTCGGGCTTCACGGTGGCCACGAGCAGGGGCTCCGGCGGACTGGCCAGCGGCACGGGCACGGCCAACAGCGCCTTCTGCCTGGCCTCCACCTCGCCCACCTCCTCGGCCTTCAGCAGCGACTACGGCGGCCTCTTCTCCAACTCGGCGGCGGCGGCGGCCGGCGTGTCGCCGCAGGAGCCCGGCGGGCAGTCGGCCTTCATCTCCAAGGTGCACAGCTCGGCGGCCGAGAGCCTGTACCCGCGGGTGGGCATGGCGCACCCCTACGAGTCCTGGTACAAGTCCGGCTTCCACTCCACGCTGTCGGCGGGCGAGGTGGCCAACGGGGCGGCCTCCTCGTGGTGGGACGTGCACGCCAACCCGGGCTCCTGGCTGGAGGTGCAGAACCCGGCGGGGGGGCTCCAGGGCTCGCTGCACTCGGGCGCCCCCCAGGCCTCGCTGCACTCCCAGCTGGGCACCTACAACCCCGACTTCAGCTCGCTCACCCACTCCGCCTTCAGCTCCACCGGCCTGGGCTCCACGGCCGCCTCGCACCTGCTCTCCACCGGCCAGCACCTGCTCGCCCAGGAGGGCTTCAAGCCCGTGCTGCCCTCCTACACGGACTCCAGCGCGGCGGTGGCGGCGGCCAGCGCCATGATCACGGGCGCCGCCGCCGCCGCCGCCGGGGGGGGCTCGGCCCGCTCCGCCCGGCGCTACTCGGGCCGGGCCACCTGCGACTGCCCCAACTGCCAGGAGGCCGAGCGGCTGGGGCCGGCGGGGGCCAGCCTGCGGCGCAAGGGGCTGCACAGCTGCCACATCCCGGGCTGCGGCAAGGTGTACGGCAAGACGTCGCACCTGA